GGGAGCTGCCTTGCCTGGGTGGGAAGCAGCAAAGGGGGTGAGGGGGGCAGGGAGGATCACAGAAAATAAAGAGGCAAACAGGCAGGTGCCCTGCACACAGCCCAGCAGGTAACGTGGCAGGAGCGACCCGGAGTTGGCACTGCCCATGGGGAGGTGGGGGGTGTCTCAGAGGAGCTGGTATTTGGGCAAAGGCCTGGGAGAGGAGGAAGGCCAGGCTGGCGGGGAGAGCAGTGCATTCCGGCTAGGAGCGTGAGGCAGGGCTCCCCAGGCAGAGCACAGCGCAGGCAGGAGAGGGGGTGGCGGGGAGGTGACCCGGGAGGAGCAGGAGCCAAGGCAAGGAAGGGGTTTAAATCCTACGGGAGGTGGGGGGGAAAGGGGACCACACAATCTGATAGACTCTGAAATGGGCCGGTAGTCTGGGAGAGAGAGGAATTCGGGCTGACTTGTAGGTTGGGGACCAGGTAACAGCCAGTGGTTACGTAGCCCTCTGTGGAGCCTCCTGTACCTTCCTGGGGGCTCCCCTGCCTGCAGTCACCGCGCTGCCGGTCAGCAGGGGCTTGGCGGGGCCATGGTTTTCGAAAAACCAAGACTACGTGAGTCCACAGCGGCTGCTTGAGAGATGGGGGGGGGGGGGGGGGAGGTCATGATGACCTCGGGGATTGGGGTCAGAACCGATGACTGAGGAAGAGAATGTGCACAGATAAGGGCCCTGAGGTGGGGGTGGGTGGAATGGGGTGGGAGGACCTCAAAAGAGGAAGCAGGAGGGGAGAGAGGAGAAACCCTGTGTGTCCTCGGGGGCTTAGGGGAGCAGCAGCAGGTGAGGCAGAGGAGTCTGGCCTCTGGGTTTGGCAAGATGGAGGTCGTGGGAAATCTTGAGAAGTTGGGGTGTCGGAGGGTGACAATTTATTCCCTGGCTGTTTCCTCTCTAAATCAGGGCATCACAATAGAGGGTGTGTACGGTCCCACCCATTACCTCCTCACACCATATGGAAAACTTCCTTTTAAGCTAGACATTTTTCCCCCCAAAAAAATACCCTCATAAAATGATCAAGAATAAAACAATATAATAAAAAGAGCTTGCTCTTTGAGATGTTATTAGTCAAATAAGTTTTGCAGTCATCAGTACCCTTTTCCATAAAAATGATTATGGCTATTTAGGCAAATTATTTAAAATAGAATACCTAGTGTCCAGAATCTTTCTGAGCAGACCCAAATTATGTACGTGTACCAGCCAAGAGCATCTAGAGCCGGGCCAGCATGGCTCAGAGGCCCACCTATGAACAGGAGGACACAGTTCGATTCCCGGTCAGGGCACAGGCCCGGGGTGCAGGCTCCATCCCAATGTGGGGCGGGCAGGAGGCAGCCGATCCATGATTCTCTCACTGATGTTTCTCTCTCTGAAACAAATACAAATAAATATATTTTTAAAAATAGCACCAAGAGGCTCCTTCCTTCTCATTCACTGTCCTGGGAAGAGTCCAGGCCAAGTGGCCACCTGTCGGGCCACGTGAGTGCTCCCCACCCGTGCTCCCCCACCCCCTGCTCTCACCCACACTGAGCCACACTGGGCGGCTGCTGCCCCTCTGGGTCGGAGGGAACTGGCACGTGGGGCCAGGGTTTGCACAGTGAGCTCACGCAGCTCTGTAAGATCACGTGAAACGCGTAGCTCCCTTTATCTGCCATCTCTGCCCCGGCAGGCTCACCCGCTGTTACATTTCAAACACGTTACATTTCAGGCCACAGAAAGGCACACAGGGTGCTCACCACGCCGTTTACCCAGCTTTCTGCAGCCGGCCGGGGTCCTGACAAATACCGCTGAAATAAGACATTAAGAGTATTCATCTCAGGTAAAAACTGCTGTTTGAGTTTTAACCTGGTGGTCTTATTTTGAACCCAGGGTCCGACCCCATAACACCCCCAATCCTTCCTTTGCCACGGGTTCCCTATAGCGCTCCCTCCGGCCTACGTACGTTCTTCTGGAGCTTGTCCGCTACTTGTGACCTTTTCCTACGGTGAGCTTACCGGCACCGGGAGGAGACCGGCCTCGGTGGCCGGGGCAGGGGCCGTCCTGTGACCGCCCGTCCTTGCCCCGGGCCTGCAGGCGCCTGAGGGCTGCCGGCCCGCCTCAGGGTCACCTGCCTGAACTCCCAGCACCCCCTCGGGCTCAGGCGTGCACCTGATTCCCTCCTCCGGCTGAAACGCTCAGGCCCTGCACTTGGAGCAGAGTTGTTCAAGGTCAGAAGTCACAAGGAGAGCAGGAAGGGTGACCCAGACTCCTGGCTCCAGACTTCCTCACTTCCTTCTTGGCACTGAGGATCAAAACGAACTGACAAGCCCTGGGGGAGAGAGGCCAGATAAAGCTGTGCCACACCCTGCCTCGGGGGCTCTCCCAGTTTGGCGCAGGGTTTGCCTGAGACTTAACGACTCCCAGTTCCTAAGGGGGAGCGGCTAAACGCACAGCCACCACAGCAATGCTCCTGGATCTCTGGGCGTTGTCTTCTGTGTGTGTTGGGGGTGGGGGTGGGAGACATGGTGGCTGTGGGGTTGGAGTGGGAGGGTATTAGGTTCCAAAGTCATGTGAGAATAAATTACCATTGGGAAATCACCTGAAATCCCTCAGAAGATCTATTGTATATATGTAAAAGGCTAAGTGCCTGACCGTCCGACCGGTCGCTATGATGCTCACTGACCACCAGGGGCAGATGCTCAATGCAGGAGCAGCGGAGCTGCAGTGACTTGGCAGCAGTGGTGCTCGGGTGATGCACCCTGAAACCAGAGAGGAGGAGCCCCTCGGGGCCTCGTGATTCACCTTTGGCTGAGGGTTAGGTGGTTGCTGGGCCCTGTCAGCCCTGAATCGGGTTCACTGCACACTGTGCTTGTGCTGCCCTGTAGGACAGCAACTTTGCAGAGTGTCCTCTCGCACTCCAAGACTCCTTGGGGGATGCTGGAGAGCCAATTTCGGCCCAATCCTGCAGGCCAGGCCGAGGGGCCCCACCTGCCGGAGAGACCCCGCTTACTCCGCAGAGTGCAGACCCAGGGGAGGGGCCGTGGGAGATGGGCTCGCCCAGTCCCGCCCCACCAGCCACTCTCCAAGTAACTTCCTTTCACTTCCCACGCACAGGGTTCCTGCGTGGATTCGTGGGAGGGCTCTATCGGAATGTCAGTGTAATGTGCAATGCTTACGTGATGTGTGCTATTCGGGGAATGCATATGCAAAGCAGGATTCTGCCCCAAGCACGGCAAACTCAGAGGCTGGCCCGGGCCAGACAAACAGGGTTTACGTGTATGTGGGCCACAAAAAAACCCAAAAGCTTCAATTGTCATAGAAGCGTAGGTTTATTTCGCTGAATACATAGGGCTGAAATAAATGTGCTCGTTAACATAATAGAACATTTTAATAAAAAGTAACATTTTTTTCTTGAACATTAACTTACCAGACACAGAATAACTGCACAAATTAATAAGCGTAACCCAAATAAACCTATTTTTCTTGTTCTCCGAAAATGAAATATTTCCTGGTGCGCACACCAAATAAGTCAGTCCAAGACTAATGACGTGGCCATTGGCTGCTAGAACATTCGCTGCTGGAATTAGTGGAGAGAAATGGTGCGCCTGTACGTAAGGTGCAAATGGAAAATGAATGCCACACAATTATAGTAATCGGTCATTAGCAAATGTTGTAGTTTGTTATTAAAAATGATGTATAACAGGATATTGTAAAAATTAAGTTAGAAAATTTTTATTAAAACGTTTCTTACTTCCTGTTATAGTGGCTGGGCCGCAAAAATATTCCTTGTGGGCCGCATGGGGCCTGCAGGCTGCCAGTTTCACACGTCTGCTCTACGCTGTTTAACTCACTCGGGAAAAGTACCCCTCTAGTCCAATTTGAGTAAGTTAAAGGCTTACAAGATCATCTCCATTCTACACATGAAGAGGGCAACTTAGTCAGTAGAGAGACCGGCCGAAGGTGACCCGCTGTGAGTGCTGGGACTAGACCGGCGATCTCTGCGTTTCCAGCTTCCCTGAGGGTGAAGGTCAGAAGTAGAGGTGGTGGGCCCCTGCGATCCGGACGCTGAGTCTGAAGACAGTGCCCGGAGGTGGAAGCGGGGTGTGTACCATCGCAGAGCGGACCCGGATGACTAAGGAGGCTCCAGGCGGAGTTGTGAGGTGGAAAACTGTAATTGCCAAGGTTACTTAAGCCTGTTTCCTTCCCACAGCAGTTACCTTACATCCTCATTTTAGTGATTTTTAATGAAAAACAAAGTCAGTCTTTCAGAGGGAACAGACCTGCCCAAACAGAGGGGACTGAAATCTCAGGAAGGGCCTCCCTCCGCACCTGGGACTCTGAGCGCCCTGGACCTGCCATGGGAGGGTGCCCCCGAGGCAGTCTGCCCTGTGACAGGGTAGGACCAAGGTCGGCAAACCGCAGCTCGCGAGCCACATGTGGCTCTTTGGCCCCTGGAGTGTGGCTCTTCCACAAAACACCACGGCCTGGGCGAGTCTATGTTGAAGAAGTGCCTTAGAAGAAGTTTAAGTTTAAAAATGTGGCTCTCCAAAGAAATGTCAAACGCTGTCCTGTTGGTATTTGTCCCGCTGACTCATGAGTTTGCCGACCACGAGCCTAACGCCGCTTCTAACCAGGCCCGCGCAGGCCCCAAACCGGCTTCTGCACGTGGGCCACGAAGTTTCAATGGCACCGTCTGGCCCGCACGTGGTTTGTGTTAAAAAGCGGGGCGTCCGGTCACCTTGGAGGCGCCCCAGGCCGCTCCCGCCCCGCGCGGCGCAGGGGCCGCGGGACGGCCGACCGCGGCGCCCGCCCCCACGGGGCCTCCGCCCGCCCGCCCGCAGCGCGGCCCCGCGGTTCTCCCCGGCGGAGGGCGGGGCTGCCGGGGCGGGGCGCCTTGCGGGGCGGGGCGGGGCGGGGGCGGGGCGGCGGGGAGGGGCTGCCGGGCGGGAAGCGGCCGGGGGGCGGGGCGAGAGGGGCGGGGCGGGCGGGGCGGGGAGGGAGGCGGAGGGGCGGGGCGGCGGGAGGGCGCGGCCCAGGCCCCGCCCCCCCGGGGACTCTGGCGGCGCGGGCGGCGGGCTCGACAGACGCACCGACGCGGAGCGGCCCGTCCACAACCCCGTCCGCAGCCGGTGAGCGGCGGGAGGGCGGCGGGCGGGCCGGGAGGGGGAGGTGCTCCGGGCTCGGCGACAGGGCGGCGGACGGAGGGCCGGGCCGCGCTCCTGCCCGGGCTCGGGTCCGGGGTCCGGGGTCCGGGGTCCGGGCTCGGGTCCGGGGCCCGGGGGGAGGCGGGTTCGGGATCCGGGGTCTCGGCTCTTATTTGGGCCCAAATTCACGGCAGGTGGAGCCGAACCTGCGGTGTGGCCGCGCCGGCTGCCCGCGACCCCCTCCCCTCCCCTCCGTCCCTCGGGCTCCGAGTGCCCCCCGAAGAGCCCCCGAGGTGCCCCGAAGAGCCCCCCAGGTGCCCCCAGGTGCCCGGGGCCGGGGCGGTTGGGAAGTCCCGGCGGCGGTTGCGGTCGGGGCCGCGGGCAAACGGCCGCTCCGCAAAGTGAAACCGCCCGCGGCTTCCTGGAGGCGGCGGCCTCCCCGCGCCCGCCCGCCCGGACCCCCGGGCCCCCCGGACCCCCGTCCGCCCCGGGCCCCGGGCCCGAGCCCCGCGGCCGCCCGCCCGGCCCCCCGGCCCCCCGGGCCCCCCGGGCCCCGGCCCCGAGCCCCGCGGCCGGCCGCCCAAGTTGGCGGGACTCTCCCAGCGCCGCCGGCCGGTCCTGAGGCCGCGGGGCGGGCCCGGGCTCGGTCCGGGTCTGGGTCCGGGTCCGGGTCTCGGTGCCGGCGTCGGTGCCGGTATCGGTCTCGGTGCCGGTGCCGGCGTCGGCGGGAGGACGCTCAGCGCTAACGCCCGTGTCCCACCGGCAGGTCCCGCCGCCGCCGCGTTCCCTGGAGCGAGGAGCCCCCGCCGGAACCGACAGGAACCGACCAGGAACCGAAAATGCCGAAGCCGGTGAGTGTCCCCCGGCCGCGCCCCGGCTCTGCCCCGCGGTGCTCCGGCGCTGGGGCCTGGGGGCCGGCGGAGCGGGGACCGGGACCGGCGGGGTGTGAGCCCGGGGGCCGGAGGGCAGCCGTCTGGGGTCACACTCAGGGCCCCTGGGCTGCCTGTGCGGGAACCTTCTTCCTCATCCAGCTGGGACCGGGAGGCCCGGCGGCTTCCGAGGGCGCGCCCTCCGCCCCGCAGGTGCCCGGGCTTCCCGGCTTCCCGGCCCCGCACCCCGGGCCCCGGCGGAGGCCGGCCGGGCGCGCGCTGCCCGGGATGTGCTGCTGCAGCGGGACCCCGGGGGGCGGGGGTCAGGGACCTGAACCGCCTGCGGAGGGCGGCCCGGGCTCCCTCCGATAAGGAGGCTCTATCTCCCTCCGATAAGGAGGCCTCTATCGCTCTCCTGCCTGCACCCCTCCTGCCGGCACCGCCGCGCACCCTGCCCCCTCCCCCGACCCCACCCCACCCCTCCCCGGGGTGTCGCCATCCCGGTGGCTGGCCGCCCAGGCCTGGGGCTGCTCAGCTCTCCTCTGAGTTGCAGGGACAAGGCCGGCTCTTTGTGCTGCTTTTCTTAGAAAGCTATGGATTCCACCTGCTTCTCACGGTGAAAGGAGAGGACAATTGACTTTGTAAATCGCGGAGGAGAAAATATCTGGATTTATTTAAAGTAGAAATAAAAGATGCACAGGGAACTTATTGCTAGTTTGCAAACAAGTTCTGCAAAGTCGGTGCTTATGTGTTTTTCTACTGTTAAACGTTAGATTTTCTAAAAGGAGTTTTGAACTAAAGTAGTTTATTTCACTGCTAGGTTAAATAAGTTACCGTGTTAATATGCTAATAGATTCAGAAGCCGGCTAGTTTTTGCCTAAGTTACATCATTGAGATGATTCATTCATGGTGCAGGAAATTCTTTTCCTACACAAATTCTTCATTTCAAACATGCTCAGGGCACGTGACACCAGGCTTGCCAATGCCTGGGACACAAAACTGACCCAGCAACAGTGCTCACCCTGGGACCAGCCCTGTGCCTGGAAGCGAGCAGCAGAGCCGTGGGCAAGAGCTCACCTAGGAGCTTTGCTTTGTTTTGCTAAAAGAAAGAAGCGGAGTTCAGCTTGTGAGCTATCCCTCAGGAGAAAGTCAGAAAGCCAGTTCCCAGTCACTACCTGTCCTTCTCATTTTTGTAAGGAATTGTAGTAAAATATGCCTATCGCCTTCCCCCAGGTAGACCCGTACCTCCTAACACCAGCACCCCATCCTCCCGGCCCCTGGCTGGGGCCTCAGGGAAGTGCATCTTGGTGTTTGTCCTCTGGCGTCTGACTCACTGCCCAGCACAAAGTCCTCAGTCCTCCAGGCTGTGGCTGTCAGAATGTCCTCCCTTTTCAAGGCCCTTCCACGGCAGGCTCATGGTAATTTCACTTTCTTTCAGTCTTTTATGATGGATCAGAAATTTAGAAAATGTTCTGCCCAAGTGCGGATAGTTAAGTTGTTGAGGGGCACGGTAGCCATCACGTGGTGTGTGAGGATCCCGATAACCAGAATCACGCTCCGAAAGACTTTATTTTGCACTAGAGGCCTGGTGCGTGACCCCTTGGGGGATGTTCGACTGCTGGTTGAGGCCTGCTCCCCTAAGCGGGCAGTCAGACATCCCTGAGGGGTTCTTAGCACTGCTGCTGTGCCACCAGCCATGAGCCGGGCTTCTGGCTGAACTCCTGCATCTGCCCCCTGGTGGTCAGCACACGTCATATCCACTGGTCGTTATGCTATTCCTGATTTGCATGTTAGGGTTTTATTAGGTAGGCTAGGGTAATGGGTACAGTTGTAACTTCAAAACAGTATTGGGAGGTCTCCTTTAGATGAGCCGCTTGGGAAATTCCCACCTGCCCCCTTCTCTGTGGGGATGATTTCTTGGAGATTTTACCTCATAAAAGACACACACACGCACACACACGCACACACCTGCACAGGAGGCTGAGAAGAGCTGAGGCTCGCACACGTTTGGATTGGTCCTGAGGCCGTGCACATTGCCTAGTGTTTGTTATTGTGCTTTAGTGCCCTCAGTAGATGTGGAAGGGGAGATCCCCAACAAGTCCTGCAGATGTGCTCTTCAGAAAAGTTATTGATTCTCTCTCTTTGTTTTGGATGATCTTATAGAGAAGGGAGGGAGGGAGGAAAAGAAAGAAAAAACATCCACGTGAGAAACATTTCATTGCCTCTCCCACGTGCTCCAACCGGGATCAAACCCTCACCGGGGCACGTGCCCAGACCCTGCCACCTCCAACCACTGAGCCACCCGCCAGGGCAGGTTTATTGATTCTCCTTGTTCCAGTCCAAGCGGAGAATCTTGCTGGGGGCTTTGTGTGACCGGATGTGTGACAGCAGGATCCAGGGGCAAACGTGGAAAGGGGTACATCTGAGCTTCCACCCGACCCCTTGCGTTTTTGATTGATTTGTCAATCAAACTGAGTCAGTGGGTGACTATTTATAGGACACTATAAGTGAAATGTCTACTTGCTGCTTTTCCACCACCACTGGCTCAAAGGCCTGAGTGCCCCTCAGTCGGCAGGTCCTGCTGCAGCAGGCTGGAACTCCCAGCTCTCCCAGACGGGGCTTAGGGAAAGGGTGCTCTGCCTGCCCTCTCACCCAGGAGGGGAGGGGGTGATGGTGTTTGTCCCCAGGTCCCTGGCTGAGGAAGCAGTCTTTGTGCCCACGATTCAGCCAAGGGCGGCCTGTGCTGCTCCTTCCGCCCCCACCCCTCCATCCCCCCCTCCACCCCCGCCCCCACCGGTGTCTTCATTGTGATGGAAAGCAGGCGCAGGCTTAGGAAAGGGAAACCTGTCTCCAGCCTGGGGGTGGGAGGGGGGTCACTCTCAAGCTCTCTTACATGAAAGCTTCCCCGAGGAGCTGGGAGTTGAACGCCTTTGAGTGGCTCCCGTGGAGCCTGGCCGTCGGTTCCTGAGTGGATGTACAGTGTCAGGCAGGAGTGCCTTGTCCTTCAGCCAGAAACTTGGGAAGTGTGTCCAAATTCCGCCCGGTTCCAACATTTTAAGGTCACTTCTGAGATTCCTTGGCGCTCTGGGAGCACACAGCCTCTGCCACTGTTTTAGCAGGGTCAGGATTTACTGCGTGTACTGGTACATTCCCACCCTCCACCGATGGAGGAGGATGCAGGGGGTGTGTTTTCCGTCCCCCTTGCCCCTCTCCACGGGCTGATGGTCAGCTAGGTGCGGAGACTTGCCAGGGCAGTGAGAAGTGCTGGCCGCATCAGTCATCTGTCCCCTCGCTCCAGGCCCGGTGCTCTGCTTCTGTCTGTGCTTTGTCCCTGTGCACGGAGAGGGACATGAGGGGGGAGCTCAGGTTCCCGAGCAGCCCAGTGGGCGAGAGGAACCCGAGGCCAACACAGGCCTTCCCGGGGCGTGCCGGCTCCGCTGCAGACGCTGGGGCTTTGACTGAGGAGGAGACTCAGCCCGCCCTCCGGGGGCCATTGCAGCTGCGGGGTGGGGGCCGGAGGAGGCGGTGGCAATGGGAGAGGTAGGCCGTTGGAGGCCGCGGAGAGGAGATGGCATGGACGGGGTGGAGGTGCAGGGGGGAGGGCCGTGTGGAGGTAAACTCACTGGACCTGGGTGGACGTGAGGGCCGAGGGCGGGGCCGGCTCCTGGGGTCTGGCTGGCTGGCTGGCTGGCTGGCGGTGCCAGGCGCCGAGATAGGACCTGGGGGAGGACAGGTGTGGGTGCCCGCGGAGGGTTTGGGTGGTACAGGCTGTTAGCTCGCCTGTGACAGGACGTCCCTGCCTCCTCTCACGATCACACCCTCCCCTCCCAGAGGCGTGCCGTCCCAGACCATCCCAGACCGAGCTGCAGGGCCCGTGTGGTCCACGGGGGCTGGAAGGGCCCGCAGCCCTCTCGTCCCCCCGGCATGCCAGGTCCGAGTGGGCGCGGAGATGGTGCGAGTTCACAGAATAGACTTCGGTGTGCGGTACGTGGAGACACTGCCGGCCTCCGCACAGGCCTCCCTTAGCTACTGTCCTCAATCATATTTTGATTTCAACAAGATTTTGAATGCCTTTATTAATACTTAGTTTGGGAAAGCAAAACGGTATCTCAGTATCGTTATTCTTGGTGAATTATTATAATTTTTTTAAATTTAAAATCTTTATTTATTTTTTGTTAATTCTCACCCGAGGATACTTTTCCGTTGATTTTTTAGAGAGTGGAAGGGGCAGGGGGGAGGCAGAGAAATGGGAGGGAGACACATCCATTTAAGTCCACCCCACACACCCCTGCCAGCCTGGGATTGAGCTTGCAACTGAGGGACATGCCAAGCTGTCTTAACTCCTCACCCAAGGATGTGTGTTTTGATTGGTTTGATAGATAGATAGATAGATAGATAGAGAGGGAGAAAGAGAGAGGTGAAAGAGAAACTTAAGTTAGAGAGAGAGGGCGAGAGAGGAAAGAGAAACATCAGTCAGTTGCCTCTGCCCGGACTGGGAGTCAAACCGGAGAACGTTCTGGTGAACTGGGTGATGCTCCAACCCGCCAAGCCGACTGCAGGGAGAGTCTCAGGATGACTCAGTGCTCCCGCTTCCTTAGCGTCAGACATTTTAATTCGGATCTGAGGCAGCGGCACGCACAGCCTGCTTTCAGAACCAGTGAGTTCATTTTGAGTAATCCCTTATGGATTCCCCAAGTACTCCAGTTTTCTTTTTTTTTCTTTTTTTCTTTTTCTTTTTTTTTAATATATTTTATTGATTTTTACAGAGAGGAAGAGAGGGGGATAGAGAGTTAGAAACATGGATGAGAGAGAATCACCGATCAGCTGCCTCTTGCACACCCCCTACTGGAGATGTGCCCACAACCAAGGTATATGCCCTTGACCAGAATTGAACCCGGACCATTCAGTCTGCAGGCCAAAGCTCTATCCATTGAGCCAAACCAGTTTTGGCTCCAGTTTTCAATTTAAGCACTAATTGTTGT